CAAAATGTGTATGAACTATTGAATGGAAAATTTGCTGTAAATATTCAGCCAATTCACACACACACACACAAACACACACAATTAGTTGCCCGAGGTCTAATTACACATAATCAAATTCACCATTTTTAGTACATTTCAATGAGGTTTGGGAAACATATTTATGTAACCACCTCTACAATCAAGATTAGAAAATTTTGTCATTCCAAAAAGGCCCCTGTGTCCCTTTGCCTGAATTCCATCCTCTGACCATGAGCCCCTGGCAATCACCAATCTGATTTCTGTCATTGTTTTGCCTTTTCCAAAGTATCTTATGAATGAAATCACATAGTATGTAGCCTTTTGACTTCCTTCACTTAACATTATCCTTTTGATATTTGTGCATGTTGTCGCATCTATCAGTTCATTCTTTTTCATTGCTGAGTAGTATTCCAGTTATAAAGATGTTTACCATTCATCAGTTGATGGATAGTTGGATTATTTCCACTTTTTGGTTACTGTGAATAAAGCTTCTGAAAACACTAAAAAAAAAAAAAAAAAAAACCACTCTCACAACTCATCATCATTGCAATAGAAAGAGACCAGTAGAGAATGGATAAACAATTTGTGGTCAAAAAAGAATTCAAACAGCATTGTTTTGAAAAACAAAATAATGACTGATTTACCCTGTAAAACACAGCTACAGCCTGACCTTGGAGTTTCTGTTTGTCAAAACTAAATGAATGTAGATATTCCTCGAAGAGTCCAATACCCAAGGCAAAATGGTCTTTACTCATTTATTTACACCACTCTTTGTCTTTAGAAAACCATTTTCCTTAAGGCTCACAATTCAAAATACCAGCTAAGGGCAATGTCCTGGGTGGGTAACCTCACCTCCAGAGACCCCAGAAATCTAGATTCCAGAAGCAAACTCCATTCTTCATTCAAAATTTAAAAAATCTATACCCCTCAGCAATGTTCACCTTCAAACCACCCCCCACCAACCATCCCTTATATTCTGAAGCCATTTTATAGACAATCTAGTACATGGTTATTTCCTTCCATATATAAAAGGAATTCTTTAAAATAATGGTATTACTTGAAAATTCACTATTTCAAAGATACCGATATTCTCCCAATGAGTTACACTATAAATCCAAACCCAATAAAAATATTATCATGCTTTTTCTCAAAATATAAGTATGTTGGTCATGAAAGTTACATGAAAAAGCAAAGAGCTATGAAGAGCCATTATAATCTGAAAGAAGAATGGAATGAAAGCTTTACATTAATGGATACAGTGTAGTTTTTTTCTCAAGGACACAGAAGTAAGGGAAGAGACTAGAGATCAAAATCTTGATAAAAGACACTGTAACTTTGTGTGTGAAAACACCACAGTGGAGAGAGAAAAGGTATTTTCTTAAAAACTGTTCTGGATCAAGTGGATATCCATATGGGAAACAATATCAATCATTATCTCACAAAACACAAATATATAAAATTAAAAAGGACTGCAGATTTAAATCTGAATATTAAAACAATGATACTTTTAGGAAAGAAGCAGAAAGAACAGTTCCTTTTCACCCTGGATTAAGAAAAATTTCTTAAATTAGACAAAAAAAATCACAAACTATAAAATTGAAACAGGGAAAATCTGACTTTTAAAATTAAGAACCTCTACTCATCAAAATGCAACATTAGTAGAGTTTAAAGGCAAAAAGTGATTTGAAAGTATGTATCAAACTAAAGACTCATTTGGAGATGATACTAAATAAGACAATGACAGGTAACCCGATACAAAAGTGGGCAAAACAGCTGACTAAATGGTTCAGAAAGAGGATGTTACACTAGTCAATACCATGAACAGAGATGCTAAAATTAAAGTCTAAGAAACAGGAATGTAGACAAGTATACAGCACTTCCATACCAGTATTGGGAGAGATCACTGGTATAAAGACTTTGGAATACTACTTGCAAGTATCTACTAAACATATTCATACCCTATAACCCTATAACTCATAGTTGCATTACTCAAATAAATATACACCCAGCAAATGTATGAATATATATATATATCCTAATGAAACCATAGCTCTAAATCTACTTCCAGTTCTAAATCTGTATCAGTTAAGTGTTCAACCAGAGAAAGAAAATCAGGAGGAGACCCATACTAAAGGGACTGTAAGGAAGTGACCTATGTGATTGTGGGGAATGCTCAAAATCCCTAGGCAGATGATCCATAAGGCGAGATGCAACTCTCTGGCACAAGTTGAAGCTACTATCCAAACAGAATTTCTGCATCTTCACGGAAGCCTCAATTTATCCAAACTATTTGCCCCAAAACCAAACAAAACTCATTGCCATCAAGTCAATTCTGAGTCATAGCGACCCCCCATTGGGTCTCCAAAGCTATAAATCTTTACAGAAACAAACTGCTCCATTTTCCTTATGTGGTGCAGCTGATGGATTCAAGCCACCAACGTTTTGTTTAGCAGCCTAACGCCTTACCCACTATACTAGAGCTTCTTATTTGTACAAATAATGTGGTTTATGCTGAATATCTAGCCTTGTCATAGCCTGAATTTTTGTACACAAAGTGCCTACATAACCATCCCCCATTAAAAGCATTGGGTACCAAATGTGTAATGACCTTCCCTAGGACCCACTTTATGTGTTGCCTCATATCAACACTGAAGGAATTTAATATTCCATTTATGTATCAAACTTGGATATTTATGCCTGGTTTCCAGTTCACGTTTTTTCCTGTTACATATTTTAATTTTTATCCTTACACTGCAATAAATCAGTTATGGATAAAACTCTATGCTCAATCTTGTGAGTCTTCCTAGTGAATCACAGATCCTGGGGATGACCTTTGGACATGTCATGGATATCGAGACAGCACAGACCTCATTAAATACCCAGAATCTGTTAAGAGTTCAGAAAACCAATGACAGAAACTTCTCTTACTCTTTGCTGAGTGTTACGAATTCTCTCTCCTCAAATATGTACTGGAATCCTGTCCTCTGTACCTTTAATGACCATTTCATTAGTGGTTATACCACTAGGGAGTAGGTTCTAAACCTAATCACTTCTGAGTTCTAAAAAGATAGCAGAATAGACAAGAGACACACACAGGAAGAGAATATATGTAAAGTAATTCATGGAAGTGACAGGCACCCTGATGTCACACCTTGAATTTGGACCTTGTGCCTCCTGAACTGAGAATTAAACTTCTGCTCTTTGAGAACACTTGTATTTCTGCTATGGCAGCAATAGGTAACCAAGATGGTCGAAGGATTTTAAGCAAATAAACTTAAAATATCACCATGGAATCTGACTCGACGGCAGTGAGTCTGGTTTACTGGTTCCACTCTGAAGGTCCACTGCAGCCATGATACACTGCCCCCTATATACACCTTTTCCTCAGGGAATCAAAATAAATAAATAAATAAAGCTCACTGCATTGAGTCAAATCTAACTCATAGCGACCCCTCCTTGGGTGCCCGAAGCAGAACTATGGAAATAGTTCTGTAGTATCACTAAGGAAGTAGATTGCCCAACCTTCCTTCTAAGGAGTGGCTGGTGGGTTTGAATTGCCAGCCTTCTGGTTAGCAGTCAAATGCCTTAGACACTACACCACCAGAGCTCCCATATATACATAAATATATACATAAATATATATAATTTATTATTCTCAACATACATATACCAACTTCGTTCGTCTCTCAAGATTTCTGTTAACCAGAGTTGTCTTGCATTTAAAAATCTGGAGTCCCGTTCACCGTACCACATAACAAAGTGGAAGTGTATCATGCATCCCAAGTGTAAAGGATTAATATTAGTACTTTGTCAAGATCTATTGTACTTGATTTAGTGTTTTGGGAATATCAATGCTCACTGAAAAGTTAGAATATTCTATGGAATTATAAAATGGAAAAATCACACAAAAAGCTTCTTTCCAGAGAAAATCACTAAGGATGTAGATCCTCTGAAAATTACCTCACACACACACACACACAAATTTGAGTTTGATTTTACAATGAATGCGAAAATGTGTGGTTTTGTAATACCGATGTCATTAGCCTGTAATTATGTCAATGCCATCACTTTAATGGCTCCATGTTATTACAGAAATGTAACAAAACTCAAATTCCTATAAACATTTATTTCCATTTGAAAACAACTGAGCAATATCATTGATGAGGTAGTCATTTTTAAAAACTTTCATAATCCTAAGAGTTTTGCATCAAAAGGAAGTACATTATACATCTCTCTCCATAAAGAGTGCTTTCTAAACACCATGCATTAATGCCAAAAGAGAAAAGCATGTTGAGTCCTGTCCTAATAATAAACTCACAAGTTTCTTTTTGGTATTTGTTTCATGGTGTGGGGAAAGAATAGGGGGTAGAGAACTTTAAAGTATTAATGTTCTTAAAATGTGGCATAGCCTGTACCTCAAAAGTTTTTTTGTTTTTTTTTTTTTAAGTAATGATACTGTAATTAGAGGACAATCATATCAAACCTGGATGAAAATGCAGAAAGACATCAGCAATCAATTATAAGGCTGACAAAACACCTGTTCTTGGGAATATACCGCAGTGAATTACTTTACATGGACTTTCTAGGCATAGTTCTCTAACTCCACAAACTGACTGGGTGGGAATATGCAAATAAGGTGCTTCTGGCTCACCAAACAGACTGGACCATTTTGCTGATGTAAATAAGGTACATTGAATCCTTGTGGGCGTAGGAACACACAATAAGGTGCACATAACCCTTGTAGATGATTGGTCTGTTTTACCATCCTGCTAGGTCAGAAGGAGCGAATTCCAAAGATGTGTGTGTGTGTATGAATGGGGGGAGGGAAGCAGGTCTTCACCACCATCAAGAAAAGAAGCCAGAATCACAGTTCACTCCTTTGGACCCAGGGTCCTTGTGCTGAGAACCTTCTTGACCCAAGAGACAGAGTTGTAAAACAAGAGTGTGAGATGTCAAGAATCAGTCACACGCATGTTAAGAGTTCAGCAGTACAGAAACAATGGCAGGATACCAAAGGGACAGGTACAAGACAGCTGGTGTGCTCCCAGGCCCAGAGTGAGGTCATCATAGTAGGTGTGCTGGCCCATGGAGCAAGAGAGCTGAGCACCTTCAGGCAAGACGATTGCTGGTGGAGCTAAAGGGCTTTTTAACATTTGCTTAGCAGGTCAGAGGCTAGGCTGAGAGTGGAGGCCCAGCTGCAATAGCCACAAAGCAACTGTCCTGATTGTCCATTACTTCCTAATTTATACCAATTCTGGATTGTAACCAGTTACTTCCCCATAATTGTGAATATGCTACGTGAGCTCTGTGTGTCCATTACAATGAATTATCAATGCCAGCCGGGAAGCAGTGCGCCGTACAAGGTACGGCTAGTGTCAGAACTGCTAAAAAGGTTGGAGTGGAGGTACGTCTGACCACTACCTCATTTGAACTATCCTTAGCCTTATGTTGATTCATTCTCCTCCTCCTCAAGTTAGAAGGGATCTGATGCCACACCAATTTTACAGGTAACGACTTCTGACACTTTCAAAGTGTAAGGGAAAAGCCCTGCCTTAACATCACTGAATACCCATTCAATTGTTTAATATGGAATGATTTGCAGCAAGGTTAACAATATTTCAGTCTGTATGGCCAGGAAAATCACAAAGATACTTCAATTTATGATGTGTACAACTGACTGAATAGCAAACAGGACTGCAGAAAGGAAGATCCACCTTGAAAACAGAGTCTACAGGGAGGACAGGAGTCTGCTGTGTGCTGCTGAATCTCTTCTGACACAAGGCAAACTATAGGTCAGAGTAGAATGGCCCCATGGGATGTCTTAGACCACAATCTTCAGAAGAGCTGATCACTGAAGCTTTTCAACCACAAAGCCACTGTTGGATTTGAACCTCCAACTTTTCCTTCACCAGAGACGCACTTAATTACACCACAAGGCCTGCTTTCCAATACTGTACTACTGTATTAATATTGGAGATTACAGTATTGAGTAGTTTTCTGTAAACTTGTTTGTATCCTTGAATATGCATTTTTATTAATTTCCTTTTGGGATAAAAATTTTAAAGCATCTCCTTTAGATTCATTTAACAAATAAACAGCCTTTGAACATATCTAGAAAAATTCTGCAACTAACTTTCTGACCTCATGGAGCTTACATTCTAACAAACATCAATTTGGCATGCACCCCATTATATTATAAAAAAAAAAAAAAAAAAAAAAAATTATTCTTCCTGAAGCCTATCTTGTGAGTGACAGGTCATAAATTCCAAAGCTCTGACTGAAGTTCTTACTGTACCACTTATAAAAGTTCTCCAATTGTGCTTTGCTGAAAGTCAGACTTTTTAATACAAAAAGTATTTTCTCTCCTGAGACATGTTTTACAAGGATTCAGGTTGCACATAAGCTTTCAAAACCTTCATTTTGTAGAATTCTTTCTTACGAAGATTCTCTGATGTTCTTACCAATATTATCACTTTCAGAAAATTTATCGCCACCATAGATTTTGTGATTTCTAAGATTTGCTCTCCAACTGAAGCTGTTACCATTGAATCTTCTATTTCTAAGGTTTCTCACCAGTGTGAACTCTCTGGTGAGACTGTAGTTGTGATGATCGGCTGAACATTTTATAACACACATCACATTTGTATGGCTTAACTGCAGTGTGGACACACTCATGGTGTTGAAGAGTTGAGGAGAAACTAAAGCACTTGCCACACTCCCCACACATATGTGGTTTCTCTGTTGTGTGAACCCTCTGATGTCTGTCACGACTCTCATTCCACTTGAAGTTTTTCCCACATTGTTTACATTTGTATGGCTTTTCTTTACTGTGAACTCTTTGATGAGATTTAAGGTGTGAAATCTGACAGAAGCTCTTCCCACACTGTTCACATTTGAAGGGTTTTTCTCCACTGTGGACTCTCTGATGGTTCAAAAGATTTGAAAGTTGCCTGAAGCCCTTCCCACACTGCTCGCAATTATAGGGTTTTTCTCCTGTGTGGACCCTCCAATGAATTTGAAGATAACCTTTAGTGCTGAAGTACTTCTCACAATCTTCACATTTGAATGGTTTCTCTCCACTGTGGACTTTGTGATGTTTCAGAAGTTGGGAAGAGACCCTGAAGTACTTTCCACATTCTTTACAATTATACGGTTTTTCTCCTGTGTGTATTCTATGATGAGTTTGAAGGTTTGATTTACTACTGAAGTACTTCCCACACTCTTCACATTTGAATGGTTTTTCTCCATTGTGGACTCTCTGATGGGTCAAAACCCCTGACGGCTGCCTGAAGCCCATTCCACACCTCTTACATTTATAGGGTTTTTCCCCTGTGTGGATTCTATAATGAACTTGAAGAACTGGTCTAGTAGAGAAATTCTTCCCACACTCTTCACATTTGAATGGTTTTTCTCCATTGTGGACCCTCTGATGGGTCAAAAGATGTACAGCCTGCCTGAAGCCTTTCCCACACTGTTCACAATTATAGGGTTTCTCTCCTGTGTGAGTTCTACAATGAATTTGAAGTTTTGATCTACTATTAAAGGCTTTTACACAGTATTCACATTTGAATGGTTTCTTTCCACTGTAGACTCTCTGATGGGACAGAAATTGTGAAGTGATCCTGAAACCCTTCCCACAATTATAGGCCTTCTCTCCTGTGTGGTTTCTAAAATGAATCTGAAGATGTGCCCTACGACTGAAGCCCAGTCCACACTCCTCACATTTGTAAGCTTTCTCTCCCATATGAACCATGCAATGAGTATTAAGTGCTGCTCTATGACAAAAGATCTTACCACAAGTATCACATTTGAATGATCTCTCCCCAGTATGGATTTTCTGATGTTTCTGAAAACTCAAAAGATAAATAAAAGCCCTCCCACATTCCTCACAATTATAAGGTTTCATTCCTGGGTGGCCTTTGCAATGAACAATAAGTGATGCTCTATACTTGAAGCATTTCCCACATTCATCACATTTGTATGGTTTTTCTACAGTGTGGACATTCAGATGAGTTTGCAGATGTGAACTCTGACTAAATTCTTTACAACATCCATCATGCTTACAGTGGTTCTTTCCCATGTGAACTCTCTGATGATTACTAAGGTCTGAGATATTACAAATCCTTCTTCCACACTTGGTGCGTGTGTAAGAATTCTCTCCTGAGTGTGAATGCTGACGACGATCAAAGCTGGAGACATGACTAGAAGTTTCTGTACACTCGTTGCACTGGTGACGTTTCTCTCCAGTGGGAATAACAAACAGTCCTCCTGCAACTGGAGTGGGCGAATCACCTTGTTTGTAGAATTCTGATTTATTTATCCTGGAGTCTTCACACCTGGTTAAGTCACCTGCAATTTGTTGCCAGATATATGAGCTAAAAAGCTCCTCCTGTGCTCCGGCTTGTGGAACAGTCTCCAATTGCTGTGGGATCTTGCCTCCTGTAGGGACAGAGTTCAAAGAAATAGATAGGTGAAAGATTTATTGAGAGTTTTCAAGATTTCACACTTAGATAAGGGATGAGACATTACTGAACCAAGAGACATCACTGTATGTCATGTGCTCTACTTTACATGCCATCAAAATAACAGTAGGTCCCTTGAGTGCAAGCTACTAAGAATTAACAAGACCATTTAGACAACACCCAAGAAAACATGACATATAACTTAGAAATCAAAGCCTTAATTATGTACTTAGAAATACCATGATGAAAAGAAAATTGAATCAAAAAGGTGTATTTCTTGTTGTGTGTATTTCCACTACATTAAATTTTAAAAAGTGAATTTGTAAGAACTATTGTAAAAAAGCAATAATACAAACAAAAATTTGCATATTTTCATTTTTTCCCCCCAGAAACTTCTCAATGAAATGCTATGAAAAGTACACTGTAGGAGTATGTCTTGGAAGAATGATAGCCAGAATACTCCTTAGAAGTGAGATAGTGCAATTTGGTCTCATGTACTTTGAGCATGCATTCAGAAGGGACTGGTGAAGGACATTATGCTTGGTAAAGTATACAGTCAGTGAAAACGATGAAGATCCTCAATGAGAAAGATTGACATAGCGCATGCAATAACAGGGTCCAACAGCAATGATTGTGAGGATGACACAGGATTGGATAGTGTTTTGTTCTGCTGTAGATGGGGTTGTGATGAGTTGGAACTGACTCGATAGTACGTAACAATAACAAAGATAAACGGAAGATTTTATAGAGGAGAATGTCACTTTTCTCCCCAAAGGAACAGTCAGTGCCAAAAGGGCATGGGAACGGTGAGATCTTCTGGTCTCCTCTAACTTCATGAGGGGAAGAAAGAATTGCCATCAGCAGCCCAAGGTTGATTACTATGAGGTGGAAGTCAGACATGCCACCATCCTCCAACCTTTCTACCAATTCTGACGTCAACTGCCCTTCCATGGCACTCAATAATTCTTTGCTGGGTCCAATAATTTGTTGCAATGGCCATACAGACCTCACAGGCATTACAATTATGGGGTTTATCAAGGAACTAATAGGTTACAATTCAGGTTCAGAAACTAACCTCAGCCCACAAATTTTCTATCAGGACAGTCTCCCCTCTGCTACGCCTGGAGGCAATGCCTCTCTTTAGCCCTCGGTATCTCAGCTTGGCCTCTGCCCTGCTTAGGCAAGTGTTACAAAGCTCTTTTACCTCTGCTGATAGGTGCACCTACGTGTACCACACCCTGCCAGAAAGTCTCCTGTGTGAAAGTATTTAGCATTCTCGCTCCGGCGGCCAGCATGCCCACTGCTCTGCCTCATGCCGGTCTCTTGCTTCTGCTGCTGCCGTCTCTCTGCCTTTATCTCAGGGCAGGGATCTTGGGTCCAGGGATGAGATCCACTCACAATTTCTTTCTCTTGATGGTAGTCCCAGCCCTACCAGGATGTCAAGTACCTTATTAACACAGCTAACAAGATATACAATCCCCTTGGGAGGCCACAAGCACCTCACATTAAATAGTTTCACCCAGTCCTTTGCTGGGAGTCACAAAGACCATAGCTAGAAGAGCCATACTAAGCAATTTGCTGCACCACAGTTGGTTATAGATGCTGCCTCGTTTCTTTCAGCAAGCAGTTAATTAGTTTGTGTAAAACTTTGTCTTGTGTTATTTCCTTGAAAAATTACTCTAATGCCTAAGGAACTGAGAAGCCCTCAAATGGCTGCAATAACTTGCAGATTTAGGGGAAATACATTATCCTTTACTAACTAAAACAAAGCATATTAGCAAACAATGCTCCTTTTAACTCATGCTAAGAAGATTCCTCCAAGAGGATAAAGGAAAAAAAAAATTGACGTGATGACATAAGCTATTTTGAAACCTGACAGCAATTTGACACCTTCATAATCTACAAGATAAAAACGTAATCAGGGCAAGCTAATCTTTGATGACAGAGACAAAGCTAGGGAGAAGGAAAAGAACAGGCCACAGTGCAATTTTCAGAAAGCAAATCCTGTGTAAGAAGTAACATTCTCCCTAGAATTCTACACATGTAAGTCATGCCCTGCCTTACATCTGTTTCAGCAACCTCCGACCTGATGTATATCTGTGGTCCAATAAGGTTATAACATTATTGTCGTTAGGTGCTATCAAGTCAGTTCTGACTCATAGTGACTCTATGTACAACAGAAGGAAACACTGCCCACTGCTGCAGGATCCTCATGATCCTTGCTATGCTTGAGAACACCGTTGCAGGCACCTTGTCAATCCATCTTGTTCTCAAGGGTCTTCTTTGTTTTTCCTCATCTCCATTTTACCAAGCATGATGTCCTTCTCCAGGGACTTCTCCCAACTGGTGACATGTCCAAAGTACATGAGATGACGTCTTGCAATCCTTGTTTTTAAGGAGTTTTATGGCTGTACTTGTTCTAAGCTAGATTTGCTTGTTCATCTGGCAGTCCATGGTATATTTAATACTCTTTGCCAATAGTGTAATTCAAAGACATCAATTCTTCTTCAGTCTTCCTTTTTCACTTACTCACTTCCAGCTTTCTCATTAGTATCAAGTGATTGAAAATACCATGGCTTGGGTCAGATGCACCTTTGTCTTCAAAGTGACATCTTTGCTTTTGAACATTTTAATTAGATTTTTTGCAGGAGATCTGACCAATGAAACACATTATTTGACTCCCTGACTATTGCTTCCAGGGGTGTTTACTGTGGATCCAAGTAAAATTAAATCTTTGAAAACTTCAATCTTTTCTCCGTTTATCATAATGTTACTCATTGGTCCGGTTGTGACGATTTTTTTGTTGTCTTTATGTTGAGGTGTAATCCATACTGAAGGCTAGAGTTTTGCTCTTCATCAGTAAGTGTTTCAAGCCCACCTTGCATAAACCAAGAAATACTGTGTCATCAGCATAACAAGCCTTCCCCCAATCTTGATGCTGTCTTCTTCTTCATATAATGCAGCTGCTCAGATTATCTGCTCAGCATACTACTAAGTATGAAGAAATGGCACAATAGTGTTTAAACAACACAGTATCCCCATGTTCTGTTCAAATGATCATCTCTTGCTTTAGGTTTATGTACACATACAAGTTGCTCATGAGCACAATTAAGTGTTCTGAAATTGCCATTCTTCAACATGTTATCCATATTTTTTTGTGAGCCACACACCCAAATGCCTTTGTAAACTCAGGAAAACACCTTTTTGGTGTTTTATGCTTTCAGTAGAGAACCATCTGATTGCTTGATTCAAAATGGAGTCTTGTCAGTAAGCACCACGCTATTTCCCTCTAGCATCTAAGTGGTTGAAAAACTAGGTACAGAAGTTTGAATTAAGGATTTTGGTGCTCTGAACAGCTCACTGAACCAGAGTGCACCAAACACAGAAGAGCAGAATTAGAGGAAAGGCACGGGGAGATTATTTAACAAAGAGCTATCTAGCGGAGGATAGATGATGGGCAGCCGAGAGAGGCCATTGGAAACTTCCCTGGGGCAGTCACTGACTGGCAGGTAAGGGCGGCCACCTGAGATCCCTGTGAGCCAAGAAAGAAGACACCCTATATCAGCATACCAGCGACCACTCCAACATCCTAGCAACCAGCTCCAAGGATCTGCCTCCAGCACCTGATTTTATCGATAATTTCAGTCACTTAAATCCAAACGGGTTCATGCAGCACCACTGAGACTCAGGCGGAGAGCTCACTGTTGTGCCAGGAGGGCGAGCTCGCTTCCCTCTCAGCGGGTCGCTGGGTGGGCTTGGGTCAGCCTGGGAGACATTGTGCTTATCTTTGTCACTGATAACGGGACTGCAGTTTGCTGGTGGGTACTCCCCTGACTCTAACACAGCTGAAATCGTGCGCATCTTCGGTGCCACAGGTGGGCTGTATCACAGACAAACTCCCAAGCCATTAATGGTCTGGCAGGACCGCACCAGTGCCGTGGGCAAATGGGGCGGGGAGAGAGAGAGGAAGCCGTGGCTGAGTGCGGTCCTGGGAATTTGCCTTGGATTGGATTCGTGGTGCCGAGGAGCCTCGGAGGCGGGGTCTTTGAGTGTGCCTAAGCCGGGCGGAAACTGGTGACTCCCTAACAACAGGAATCTTTCCTGAGATTGAGCCGCGGTCTTGTGAATAACTGCATCATCGATGATAGCCTGCACAAAGTCACAGAAACTGACCCTAGAAACATGAAGCTTTCCTTCTTCTGCTCCTACCTTCTCCACCAATAATTTCACTCATTCAATAGAAGAAACCATATTCAGCCAATTACTATAAAACCTCCCGCTTCGAACTCTAAACCCTCTTTATGACAAATAGAAACACATATCCACACTCCCACAGTGATTCCACCATCACAAAGAAAACAGCAGAGCGACCCAACATACCTGAATCAGTAATAAAATAAAATACAACAGCTTCACCTTTTCAAAATATTAAACCATAAAACCAAGACAAAACTAATTAACACGTAACCAGCAGCTGGAGACAACCTAAACAGACAGCGCTCTACCAGATTCCAGGGGCGTAAGAAGAAGTTCTGCTTTCTAGTAACCCCAAGAACTCTCCGGACCTGCACAATTGAAAAGGTATTCCTCTTTTTACTCTTATACCCCACACTCACTTGGTGAACAGAGGTGCAGCCACTCCTCACTCCCACCCACCTTCTGGGCCCGCAGGAACTCCATCCCAGTCTATGTGAACAGATGGACCCTGGGTGCCCTGCCCTGTCCTCTGCTGATTTTTTTTTTTT